CTTTTACGTTAAAGAATTACTAATGTCACAGATTTCTTTTTAAAGGAAACAGAAAACTGGACAACATATGCAGTTTCAAAATCGTGTTTAGGAAGTTAAAGATAAGTTAAGAGGATAATATTAAATGAAACTATGCAATTTAAGTAAGATTCAAGTAGTTTTTGAGAAAACATTCAATTTGTTTTTCTGAAGTTTTCTTTTTGTGTTCATGTTTCACTATTTTTTTTTGGTTAGATTGAATATTATTCATGAATATCTTTATAGTCCCTAGGTATTTTGTAGAGTGATATTTACATAATATTTTTTTGAAAGCGAATCATTATTTCATTATTAAATGATTAAAATCACTTGCCCTGAGAATAGAGTAACTTTAATATTTATCCTGTGTTCAAAAACTACAAGAGTAACCGTTGTACCAACTCTGTTATAAAGGGTTATACGCAGAATAACTTAATCTGTGTTAAAGAACTACATAGAGTAACCTTTATACTCGCCCTATGTTAAGGAACTATTCAAAATAACCATTATACGTGCCCTACGTTAAAGAACTACATAGAGTAACCTTTATACTCGCCCTATGTTAAGGAACTATTCAAAATAACCGTTATACGTGCCCTACGTTAAAGAACTACATAGAGTAACCTTTATATTCGCCCTATGTTAAGGTTTGGTTGGTTTGTTTTGAATTTCGTGCACGAGAGCTATCTGCGCTAGCCGTCCCTAATTTGGTAGTGTAAGACTAGAGGGAAGGCAGCTAGTCATCACCACCCACCGCCAACTCTTGGGCTACTCTTTTACCAACGAATAGTGGGATTGACCGTCACATTATAACGCCCCCACGGCTGAAAAGGCGAGCATGTTTGGTGGGACGGTGATTCGAACTCGCGACCCACAGATTGCGAGTCGAGTGCCCTAGCCACCTGGCCATGCCAGGCCGCTTTCATGGAAAGTCAAATATAATTCAAAAAGTCTACCTCACGTCAAGTCTGCCAAACGTATGCCTCACCAAGACATTATTCCATTAGTTCTATCAACTTTGAGAACAGACAAATTAGTTTACTTAGTTAATTTACATGAATTATCTATCGCAAAAAAGAACAGCTACATAATTATTTACTAGCTTTAAAGAAGTTAAATGAAATCCAAATTAGCTCTATTGTTTGTTTTTTGTCTAACACAATGACAAAACGTGTAGTTTTTAAATCTTAAAACACAAAAATGAATTCTCAATAATACGAATAGGTAATGATTTATTATTGGTAAATGAAAATATAATTAACTTACATTAAGTAAGGTCCCCTGGTGGCTCAGCGCTAAATCTGCGGGCTTATATCACTAGAAAATTTGATTTTGATACTCGCGTTGAGCCAATGTAGCATATATAATTCAATTTGTAGTTCTGTGCTTAGAAATAAACCAAGAAACATTAAGAAAGGACATCCACGCCATAATTAGTTGGGAACTGTAATTTCTAGAACTGACAGCTCTTTTGATCCTGACTAGTTTGATAATAAAAAACTTCATATAAAGTTGCATTATTTGGTTTAATGTGTCGAACTTAGCTTGGTATGGCGTTTCAGGACGCTTAATTTCCGAGCTAGAACTTCTTCTGAGATTTCTTTCTTAATCTTGTGATAGTGTAAGTTGTAATATAAAAACACACCAGCAAGCATAAGGGAACAAAACACATACCATGATCAGCTGAAGATTGCATCCCCCATTTATTTGTTGCCCAACTATCTCTACTTGACTTGAAAATATTTAGTGATTACCGATCTGTGTTACTTGATATAATAAGTTTATGCTTTGATTTCTGATATGATAATATAATATTTTATTATTATTTATGATACATTTATAATTGTGACAGATGGAATTACAATTACAGAAGTTTTTTCGCCACATTCCTCATGTAGAGATGTCATTAGGCTCAACAAATGTGATTAAAATTTCATAAATCTGCTGATTTTTTTACTTCTTTTCTCATATAGATTATTAAAACTTTATACGCTTGCCAAATTAATAATATAAATTTATGTGCAATTTACCTTAATATTTTTACCCGTCCCTCATTATTGTTCCTCTTTTTGTAATTTCTCCTGGACACATAAACTACATATTTCTACCTTTATTTTTGGAAGTTTCTTCGAATCAGGTCGCCCAATAATTTTGACATCACTGCATTGCTATGAATTTCCAACTTATATAAACGTAATTGTTTATATCATTATTCGCGTGGCATTGTTTTCGTGCTTTAGTATAATTGTTGAAAGTATTATTTAGTATTGTTTAGTTGAAAAGAATTGGAATTATGCAAAAAATGGGTTAAACGACAGGCTAGAGGCCCTTAAATAGAAGCCATCGTTAATTTTGAACTATTGATCAGAGAGAAGTAAACCAACCAGCAGCACCAGCCGCTACATAGACCTTGTTTGGGTTTACGAAACCAGCATCGGGATTGAGTGTCAGTTATATAACGCGCTCACAGATGAAAATATGGAATATAGTCAGCCGCACAATGTCTCGAACCCTACACTGTTAAATTCGTGGCTCCACGCAATAAACACTAGGCCACATCCGGCCTCAACCAGGATTGAGCTCTAAAAAGTTTATTTGACACTTGGAAGTCCGAAATTAATAAGTCTTAGAATCGTTATTTTTCCGCATTTTCCAATTATTAATCATAACCTTACTCAGTGACTTCAGGCGTGGGAGGTGACTTTTTCATTCTTAAATTCTTAGAAATTGCACTCTCAACATTATACCATTTTATTAAGAATTATATCTTAAATTAAGGCTTTAGTTTTAAGTGTCATTTTAAATAAAGGAATAATTAAACTAAATTAAACATCTAAGCAAATTCCACATCATCGTAAGCTTACAAGCTTATTTATGAGCTCCTTTTGAGCCATTTCGAAGTAACCAGTTGAGACTTTTCAGCTTGTCAGTCACTTTGAATAACCAGCTAAGCTTTTTCAGTTTGTCGGTTTCTTTAAAATATCCAGACAAATTCTTTCAATTTCTCAGTCGCTCTTGAATAACCAGGCAAGTTTTAATGTAGCAATTGCTTAGAAATAGCTTACCAGTTTCTTTTAATGTACCAGTTGCTTTGAAATAACCATTCAAACTGTTTCAAAGTGTTTTTCACTTTGAAGTAACTACTCAATGTTTTCGGAGTGTTAGTCATTATAAAATAACGCTCTAAGTTCTTCCAACGCATCAGTTTTTCTGGAGTAATGGCTCAATTTTTCTAACGCCTCGTGTGTTCTGAACTAACTAGCCATATTCTTTCAAAGTATATGATGATCTGTAATAACTAGCTCAATTTTTTACAAAATTCTAGTCGCTCTGCAAAATCGAAACTCGTTCTTACAAAGAGTTAGGTGATCTGTAATAGCCAATCAATTATTTGGTGCGCGCCAGTAGCTCTAAAATAATCAACTAGGTTTCTCCAATGTGCTAGCTGCTCTAAAAAAATTAGTTAACTGAGATTAAAAAACTTTCTCCGACAAGAGCCACTTAAACTGATCTAAACTGCATCTCTTGTTTAACAGCACGTTGAGCTCATAGTCTTTTGTTGTTCAGAGTAATATTCTAACTTAATATTCTTAAATATTATGTTTAGAGTTTTCATACTTTGTTTATTCATTGCATAGAAAACAAAAGTCACGAGAATTTCAGAAGTTGTATCGATTCGCGATGTTTTTCAATTAAGTAACACATTACGTCCACGTCGCGTCAGTAAATTCGTATTGCAGAGAAACAAGCTAACAGTTTCAACGTCTTGGAGAATGTCGATGACTAAAATATCGCATGTATCACTTTTGAATTCTGTAAAAAGAAGAAAACACAGATGTGTTAGTAGAGCAATACACTATGTATTGCCTTCTATAAGAAAGGAGAAACACGTCTTTTTTTTTATTTTCTCTTCGAATACTTGAGTTGCTGCAGCTTGCTCAAAGCGAGTACAACACGACATCTATGCACTGCGTTTAAAGGTCACGTGACATTGGCAGAGCAAAAATAAAATGAAAAAAGTTTTTTTATTTGCTTTCTTACATTTTAAAACACACTATATATATATAATAAAAATAAAACTTAAAGTATGATTTTTTCAGGTTTTTTTTCTGAGGATGGATCGATAATTAAGTCACATCCACCAAGTTTTGTTTTTATTTTTTCTGAGGATGGATCACTTATTCAGTCACATCCACCAATTTCTGTTTTTTTCTGAGGATTTGTTTTGTTTTATTTTGAATTTCGCGAAAAGCTACACGAGGGCTATCTGCGCTAGCCGTCCCTAATTTAGCAGTCTAAGACTAGAGGGAAGTCATCACCACCCACCGCCAACTCTTGGGCTACTCTTTTCCCAACGAATAGTGGGATTGACCGTCACATTATAACGCCCCCACGGCTGAAAGGACGAGCATGTTTGGTGTGACGGGGATTCGAACCCGCGACCCGTAGACTGCGAGTCGAGCGCCCTAACCACCTGGCCATGCCGGGCCTTTTCTGAAGCTGGATCAATAATTAAGTCACATCCACCATTTTTTTTTCTGAAGATGAATCACTAATTAAGTCTCATCCACCAATTTTTGTTGTTTTTTTCCGAGGATGGATCACTAATCAAGTCACATCCACCAATTTTTGTTTTTATTTTTTCATTAACTCCCAACTAGTGTCTCTGAATGAAAATTTCTTGTGTTTACGCATATTTTAAAGGCTGACTTTGATTCTAAGTTATCTGTGCACGTGGTTTAATAGCTTATAAGTTATTTTATGTGTATTCAAAGAGTTTAGAGTAGCAACATCTATAAATGCTTTGTTGGTATTTAGTATGATAGTACATATACAAATGTACAGTTTTAATATTCTTATTAAACCGTTGTTTGAATGATATATCTTAATATTCTACAAAAGGGTCAACCCATACGTATGGTTATTTCTTATTGATCTCTTGCATATTTTATATAAACGTTAAATATATCTTGCTTCTGTTTCAGGCAGAATGGGTGTAGTCTTTATATTGATCTACGTTTTTCTCAAATTCGGTAAGTTCTGACAAATTACGATAACGTTTTACATTTATGTATTAGAAAATCACACATTTGATGATCTTTTGTCAGTATTTTTTGTCAATTTACACTTATGTAACATTATAAGTAAAAAAGTTACTGTAGTGGGTGATAATTTGCTAACTGTTGTGTATGTGGGGAAAAATAGTAAACAGAAAAAAAAATCCCGAGAACTTGCCAATGGTAACCCTAAACTTTAGATATAATAACTAATATTCAAAGCTCCAACTTAGAATATAATGGTCATAACTTGAAGCAGTTTCGTCTCACTAACAGTCAATACGATTTCTTATTGGTGGCCTTTGTTTTTAAACCTGTAAATTACTATCTAAACATTAAATTAAACCATTTGTGAAGTTTAAGATTAACAGAATTTAAGTCAAAATAATAGATAATGAGACTCTTTGCTTGTATTCATTTTCATTTGGACCAAAATTGCTATTTAAACATAAAAATAAATTAAAATTTGCTGTTAAACCTAGCTGTAATTATGTTGCGGGTAACCATAATTTTCAGATCTAAAAACATCATCTAAAATTTAAATTAAACTATTTTTTTAAAAGCTAAACCAAACAGTAATTACTTTATTCCTCTCCTATTCTGGACTACCTAAAATTAAAAGAAATATGTAACCCAAAACACAAGCTCAACACTAAATTAATTAGGCAGTATTATAGTATGTCATTTAGCAGGATTTCACTCTTTTCCTTTAATTAATTTTTAAGCAAATTAAAAACACTCGGTAATTATATTGGCTATTTATTAATTGTAGTAAAAAGAGGAGTGGCACAATGGATCTTACTAGCTAATATCTCTGACGTTATTGACTTAAACTAGTTGTAACTAAAGTAGTAATTTTGAGCTTATAGTCTTCTTTACTTGTTAGAGGTAGTATAGCTAAGAATTATTTATTTACGAAAGAAATTAATAGGCTCAGGCCCTAATATTTTAATGAACAAAGGACTGTGAAAGTTGAGAACAACAGTCATATTAATGTAGAAAATTACACAAGGTCATTTTAAATATGTCGATTAAAGAAACAACATAATACAGGGTTGACGCAAAATATTCATACATTCAGACCATAAAGGTGTGTTCAGAAACAGAACTTAGAAGTTCCAGGATGGGGATATTCCTCGTTCTTAATAGCATTGAAAACACAAAAACACGGAATAACTTGAGGACGATCCAGAAAGAGACCTAAAACAAGTCGTTCTCCAGCCGTGGTAGGCAAAAT